AATTTTTATTGGATTTTGTGGCGGTCTTAGCACAGTGGCTAAGTTATTGGCTTAACAAGCTATTTACTCCGGCCAATATAGACATAACAAAAATTCCCGGAAAGACATGGGCTTTACCACAACAAATAAAGTTTATAGCATGTTGAAAATTCCTTAAGTATCAAAATATTCAAGTAATAAGAATTCTTTAGTACGTCTCTGACCCGAGTATAAATATCTCCGTTTCTCTGTTTATATTGTGACGTTAAGAAATAATCCCAAATTCCGGTTATAACTAGGACGTTAAATATGGTTAGATTTATTTGTATGCGTTAGCTTTGAGATTTTAAGCTGAGAATGATGAAGGTCATTTACGATATATTTTGAAGCGGTTTAACAAGAATTTTGGGTTGTTTGATTGCAAGAAACGGTGGAGAGGTGAGACGCAAAACGGTAGTAGCCGGTACTTAGATCGAAGTCGAGGGGAATTCAAGTTTTTAGGTTTGAATATTTGGTCAAGGGAAACAGACGTTAGTCGGAAGAAAAACCGGCAAATTTATTGAAAATAGTGAATTATACTCTATGTAATGTGTCAGTTTGAAAAAGTAATCACTATTTCTATTTTCCTAAGTATCTAGGAGATTTGTGTTGCCTACAGCAATTTAAAAGAATAACAACATGTTCCATTGTTGAGTTTTTAAGAAGCCGAGTCCAAGGCTTGCGTCCAGTGTCTCAATTTCAACCTCAATGTCCTAAGACGTCGTTGTAAAATACTTTTCACAATATGGAGATGAATTTGTTCGAGTGGCAGAAAGTGTAAGTCTAGTTTCCACCCCCAGAAGTTTCAGTGCATTTTAGTGTTGACGTTAGTTTGTTTTGTTTTTTAGAAAAAGGTTAAACTCTAGGAATAGTTTCATTTAAAAAGATAATTTTTATTTGCAATGACTTATTTCTGCTACAAATTATAGCCCAGTAACAATTTATTGTAAGTTACCTCCAACTACTAGAGTTTGTAAACGGATAGGACATAGTAAGTTTTTCTTCTTTGTTATTTTGGCATAAATCTTTGTAACTATTAATATAGTATTTTTATGCCCTTTATATGTGTAACTGTTTGTGTGAGACAACATAAATGTTAATTTCTCTAAACATTTGTGATTTATTTAAAAAAAGATTCTAACCCTTTTTCTTGTGTTTTTTAGGACGGAAGAACCTTTTCTGTCATCCAGCAGGACGTTTCCTCGAAGCGGCGTCCATTTTAAATAGCTAGAGGTCCTTCTTGTTGTTTTGTTTGCCCAATTGTCCAGAAGATTCATGTAAATACCCCTTTTGTTTCATTTTTGTAATTGCGCTAATTAAACCACCTTGCCATTCACTTATCCACGACCCAGCTAGTCCAAATAAACCCTGAGAGCCTTTCGCATAAGTTTAGTTTATTTTGCTATCTCTGCCCCAATAAATTCTGTCCCCAATTTTCAACCCCCCACAATAATACCCTATATGGTAGGCAAAATATTTCGTTACAAGTTTTAAAAATCATACACCAAATTTCACGAAAAAAAAATGTAAACTCGCTCTATCATTCTCTACAACCTTTAGTACGACCAACAATGGACTACCTAAGTCTGACGGAACAATGGGCGGGGATTTTAAAAACCTTTTCAAACAATTCTAATTTGTGTGTATTTGTCCCATAATAAAATGGAAATATTGGTTTTTTAATTGTTTGAAGAATAAATAAGGACTTTTGGATATGAACATTCATTCTTTGTGATTATTATTATTTGTTGTTCGTGAATTTGTGAGGTAAGAATATCAAAGTATTACGATATTTACTATGAATGTTCATATTTTAAGGTTATGTTATTGTATGATTAAAGCTTTAATTATTTTTACTGTATTTTAAGGTATTTTGTTGTTGTTTTTTATCAGGGTTATTTCAAAATAAATCATTGAATTTATTTACGAAGTTGAAAAATACGTAAATTTATGTTTTATTCTTTTTCGTTGCCAGTGATTTTATCCTGTTAAATATTAAAAATATTCTTTTCTCTCGCAGTTTAAGGCTGTTTTATCGGTGCACCAAAACCTAGGGACAGTGTTTTCTCTGTTATTTACCGACAAAATGTATCGAAATTTGGACACGTTATTCTAAATTATGTTGCCTTTAAAATGATGGTTTTACTTTTTTTATTTTTTTGAAACTTCTGTTAAAAAGTTGGATTACACTGTTTAACGTTCTATTATATCCAAACTTTTTACGCCCATCACTTGAAAGCGTTTTTTGTTCTGTAATCGTTGATATTTCTTTCATCTTTCTATGGTCGGTTCGCTATTCCCAGTCCGAACTGTCTAGTGAATTTAAAAATTATTTTTTTGCGAAGTTAGTTACTATTTGACAACTAAAAGTGGCTGGAAATTACTATACAACCAAGCACACGTACTCATAGCCAATATTATTAGTAAACAAACTAAATAGTAATAAAATTACGAATTACCAACAATAAATATTTATTTATCTGCACCATATAATAAATAGTTCTGTTAAATTATAACAACTGAAATAATATTTTTTAAATATATACTACACCAAAATTGTATGGGTTTAGTATACACTTCCACTATTTATACTATTCTTCTTTTTTTAATGAAATAAGTCTGTAATAAAAGTTTATTTAAGCTATGTTTCTAGCTACTCTGAACTAGGAACTTTTGTGTTGTAAGTTTCCAGCTATGAATCTGTCAAAATACGCCCGAGTTGAGCGAATGGACCTTATCAAATTGTTTTAATAGTTTTTGAGATAATTTTTTAGATCTGGGCATATAATGGGTAGTAAACATGTGTTTAAGATATCCAGTATTACTAAATTTTTCAGTAATGATAACAAAACTACTATTAAATATTGAAGCTACGAGAAAACGAATATATTTAGTATTTTAGGGATAAAATCACTAGCACTTAAAAAAGATTAAAACGTAAACTATTTTTTAACTTCATAAATAAATTCAATGATTTATTGATTAATATTGAAATAACCCCGATAAAAACAACAACAAAATATCTTGAAATACAGTACAAAATAATTAAACTTTTAATCAAACCATAACATAACCTTTAAATATGAACATTCATAGTAAATATCTTCATACTTTGATACTCTTACGTCACAAATTCACGAACAACAAATAATACCAATCGCACAGAATGAATGTTCATAATCAAAAGTCCTTAATTATATTCTTTAAACAATTAAAAAAACCAAATTTCCAACTTCTTATGGGACAAATACACACAAATTAGAAATGTTTGGAAACGTTTTTAAAACCCCCGCCCATTGTGACATCAGAGCTTAGGTAGTCCATTACTTGCAGTTTAAAGAGATTATGGTCTGAAAACTAGTTAAGATGGGAAGGAATACCACTATGTCAAAGAGGAGCCCAATTCTAAAGTCAACGTTTAATTTATAGAATGTAAAATATTCTGATTGTTAAATATATTAAATGTCATCGTATCTAACAATGTATATAGCACTTGAAATACAACATTTTCTTATGCAACTAATAAAACTGTACAATTTCATGCAAACCTCTGTTGTCTAGCCACTATTTATAGTAGCGATTAAATATAATTTTTTTCAAATTTTTAAGATCCACCACCATTAAGAGAGCTTTCTTAATGAACCTATTTTCTACATACAAATCACCATATAATTCCGCTTACAAGTATACACAAATATCTGAAACCGCGAAGGTCACTCAGCTAGCAAATCAAGGAGAGGAGACTTAACTTGAACGCGTTCTTGCAAAGAGTAAACATTTATTTTAAAAGTATTGTGCACGAAATCAGTGATTTAACGACCTTGCCAGATAAAATCAGCGAATAGTTGTTTATTTAAACACGAATATTACAAGTGGTGTCAAAAAAGGACACTAACAGGTAACACATAAAAGGTAACAAATAAAAAACCGAAAATCCTTTGAAACCCGATTGATCTGACCAAAGATCGTCGTAACCAAAGTTTTCGATCGGTCTGACTTGGTGGTTTCAGATATTTCTGTCTACCCGTACCTCACTTATTTATTAATTCATTATTTTGCAAATACATTGTTATATTCACTAATATAATAATATAGATAATATTTTGTGGTAATTTTTTTATCTATTTCTAACGCATTCAAAATAAAATTCATCCGAATTCATGAATTTGTCTCACATTTTAGTATTTTATAAAATTTCGATTTCAAATTTACGTTCAATTGAAGTGATGTACACATCACCTAACTATAAAATGACATTACATAGGGCCTTGATAAAGAACAAGACACATTGACAATATGTATCAGACACAACTACATCGAACAGTATTTACAAAAATAGATACATCTACTTTATTTCCTAGTCAGTGGTTCGCCATCTGTAGCAGAAAAAATTGCATACTCTATGTCAATATAAAATAAGTAAAACAATTTTTAGTTATACATTTTGTAATATGTAGTATGTTTTAAAGAAAAACTAAATTTGTATCATTACAATCCAGGCTTTACAACTTTTTGTGGGGCCGTGGACTGTTCCAAAAACCACTTTTCATTCCTTATTATTCTTCTTGGTTTTCCAAAGGTTCCAATTTCTTGGTTCTACGACCAAAACTTGGGGTTCTTAGGTTTTCCCCCACTTGGTCCTTAAATCTTGCTTTGAGACTACCTCCCCTTCTATTCAATCTGTGGTTATATATATGAATTTATATCTCGTTGAATATTAGAGCTCAAAATTATAGCAGCTGTGTCGTTTTGTTCTGCAATAATGTCATTTAGCAGTATTTCACGTTAAATTCTTATTTTATTTTAAATCTACTAATCAATTATATAGCGAACTATTTTAGCAAACTTTCAATGTTGCAAAGTTGCAAAAAGGTAAGGCTATACCAGATGAAAAAAATATAAACAGTAAATCCTAAACTTCATCATAAAAGGAAAAATAAATTTTTCATTAAAGTAAATAACCAACAAAAGAAATAACTTACCACTTCCACTTAACACTGATTCTTCCTTATTGTAACCGTATACTGTATTCTCACTATAAAATGGCATCGGCATGTACTCCAGTGGATTGTATGTACCGCTATATGGCATGTAGTTGGGAACATTTGGTAAAGGTCCCACACTATCTGTATCACCCTGTATTTTGAGGTTGGTAATCGCTGAACAAAGGTCACCGAATATGTAATAACACTGAAAAAGAAAAGACAAAAATGGTCGAGTTATAGAAACTGTCACAAACACTACATAAATTTTAACACGTATAGTGATTCTATTTTTATGTTACGAAGTGTCATGAACGAGGTCCCGAATTCATGTTTGGCAGTTGTACTAGGTGTCAGTTTGTGGCAGCTGCAATAGATGTAAAAAATTCCCTTTCGGAAAATCACCTCACTTCCTTATAGCGGTTATATGTGGTTTATGCTGGGTTAGTTTGTCACTTTAATACTAAAATTAATTTGCAGAGTGTAGGACCAGAGCGTATGACCAGAGTGTATGACCATACGAAGTGAATATTCCCAAGTCACTCGCATAACCAGAGGTTACGCTTGTTAGCCGTAAGTGCAAATAGAAGGCGATTTTTGGTCAGTATTTCAAACATTTATGGGGAGGTTAAAAACAAGAAGACACTCTGGCACTCTTCTTTTTAATATAGCACTGAAAAGGCTGAATTATAAAATTGGGGAACGATATTTATTAAATCAAAGCAAATTATGGCATACGCTGATATCAACCTGCTACTCCACCGACTAAAAAATAGGAGTTTTGCTTCTTTATAGCAGAAAATGTGGGCCTCGCAATAAACGAAGACAGAACCAAAGTAATGATGACGATTCCGAAGAAAACAAGCGAAACACAAAAACTCTAGTCAAAGGTTTAGTTTGAAGAATTCCATTTTTGAGCAACAAATTCATATACTTGGATTCTGTAATGGACAGTGATACACTTCCAATGGAGAAAATAATAAATAGAATACTACTAGCGAACATATTATGGTACTACTTACTACTAAAGAACATAAACTTCAACAAAATAATAATATTTTAGTCGGAAGCATGGACTATTTCTAAATAAAAAAAAAATATTTTGAATGAAAAAAATGAAAAAGGCAACAAATATTTGATTTCACGCAAACAATCTATGTATCTGTTGTAGTATTTCGACCTAATAGGTCTCGTCAGAACAGCTATTCATAGGACTCCTCAACGTGAAAAAATCAATATTTTCTGCCTTTTAAGAAGGCAAACAATAACATGGCTTCAATACGGAAGCGCTAGCGACATCTAATTACAAAAATCGTAAAATAGTTTCGAAACACACGTTGAGGACTCCTATGAATAGCTGTTTTGACGAGACCTATTAGGTCGCAAATACGTATCAACAGATACATGGGATTTGTTTGCGTGAAATCAAATATTGCTGCCTTTTTTCATTTTATTCGGATTTACTCTGTGTGAGTACTAGAAGCACAATTCGCTAAGGATTTCTGCTTAGTTGTAAAAGACATGTCGTGGAATGCAAATTTTAGATTCCCCATGTCTCTTTTAACATCTTTTATCAACGTCTGTTGGCCTTGCAATTTTTAGAAGGCTCAGATATATAAAGCAGAAGTCTGAATTGTGTTTCGAAACTATTTTACGATTTAAAAAAAAATATTTATTCCTCTGCGAACTAAAGATCCAAGAAGAATCTTCGAAGTCATCTAGAGAAGATATAACTTTGAGATTTATCAGAAATATAAAGAAATATTAGACGGGAGAAATTTAATATTTTCATAAAAATATGTAGTCTAAGATGGGCGGAACTTGTCAAAACTGGACTTTCGGATGCGCACAACTCAGCGAAACTGCTACGGAGATTTAACCGATATATGTGATATTCCATACACGCATTGAGAGTACTTTCAACCGAATAAAAAATTTTAATGATATATCACATACATTGTGTGTTCACACAACATACATCTCTGTTAGCAGAGATTGTTCCAGTTAAGCAGAAGTTTGTGTTACGTTGTCTCTGTGGGCTTTTAATAATATTGACCAGATTTTTTTTAATATCTTTTATTAAAGACCAACTAAACTTAATACATGATTATATCTAACGAGCCATGTTTTACCCCTCCCCCACCGCTGTCCATCTCCTTCATCTGTCACTCATGTTAAGGTAGGTTTACAAATATTAAGGTAGGATCATATAACATAACAGTTTGCAGCATTTGTAAGTACAAAGATCAAAACTCAATCCCTTTTTAAAGATAGGTGATAGTCATTTATTGCCGAAACGTCGTTGAAACAATGGTTGAAACCTCAAATCCAAGATAATTAACTTGTACGGGGAGGAAATTCTGCGAGATCTTAGAAGATATGAAAACCGACGGTCAAAGCGAAGTAAGTTACTGTGTAACCTTAGTTTTTTAGAATGCTGCAGCGATGAAACTATAATACACACTTGTATGATGCTGAGCAAATAAATAAATTCAGAGCAAATTACATCTTACTCTGTGGAACATCTTCGACAACCTCACAAGCTTTCACTCAGAGACAGATGCTGACATCACCAAGAAAAAGCAAATAAACAGGTTTGAGAAATTGACACTACAACAACGACCCAAGGAAAAGGAATCCAGTAAATTAGTTTACAACTTCTCAAAACTTACTTTGGATGAAGCTAAAAATAGTGTCTTTTACAAAGGATTCAATTTTTCTATTGCACCGGTACAGATTCCCGCCGAAAATATCAGCGAAGTGGAATCTACTAAAAGTAATAGCGGAAATCATAAGACAAGATGTATCACAGATATTAAAAACAACCAAACCACCGAAAAAGAATTATGCATATATAATGTTTGATATAAGTTAAATGCTCGAATAAATGAACTTTGAAAAATTAAGACAAATATCGAGCACAAATTTAATAATCAAATCTTGCACAAGTACTTTCGCTTTCTACAGCATCATCAGGAGCATCTGAAATAAGCCAAGAAAACGTTTTTTAAATGAAGAAAATTAATTAACTTCGAGTTTTTTTATCGAATTTTAATTAATTTTCTTCATTTAAAAAACGTTTCTGGGCTTATTTCAGATGCCCCTGATGATGCTGTAGAAAGCGAAAGTACTTGGGCAAGATTTGATTATTAAATTTGTGCTCGATATTTGCCTTAATTTTTCAAAGTTCATATATAATATTGTTATAATACTCTTAATTACTTACTTGTTCCGAAAAAGTGATCTTATTCACGGTGTGTCTGATGAACCCTGCTTTGAGAAGGTGAGAAGCATATTTTCTGGCGTCCCTCCTCTCTGTGAAACCTTCGACGTGTGTCAATAACCAATCGATCATGTCGGTGCCGATAAATGCATTAGGAATCGTTATTTTCAGCCACATTCTGTCCCTGATTTCCAAACCGCTGTCGGGCCTCTGCATGGCTTGCACCACTTGAGACATCGGAGAGTTGACAGATAGTGGTTCTTCCATGTCTGAAACATTGCTCACATTAAGAAGAAAAACAGCTTAACAAAAGTTAGTAAAAGTTAGGAAAGAAATAATTTAGCCTCCTACATCCTTTTAGCCACAGAAAAAAAATCAAATGGTTAGTAATTATTTTTTATGGCTCCGTTAATGATACATATATTGGAAAGGGGGACTCTTTAATAAAACCTTGAATTGTGTGGGATAAATATTTTTTCTTCTAATAATTATCTTGAGAATAAACAAGAAATAACCCCATTAGTAATAAATTTTTGAGAATCGTCAAATCAACATATTTCATCCCTGCTACCCCCGTTAGCTACCACAAACGCAAATTGCTGTAAGAAGAAAAGTTGGGTATCTCGTCAAAATGAAGCTACTCACAAAAAATTAATTTGTTACTAATAAATAATAAAAATGGGGCTCTGATCCCGGATTATACAAAAGATATATTGATAAAGAAGCCATGAAAAGAATAAAAATTCATAGCGATTGGAAAATGGGAATCATTTGCCCAATCTACCAAAACGGGGATAAGTTAAAATTTAAAAATTATCGAGAAACAACATAATTAAGTTCAGAGCTTGGAGGTGATGGGTCTATTTGGTCCCCGGAATACCTTGTATATAATTGAATACTGGGAAATTAATTCAAGAGGGGAGGTTTGGTTGTTGCCCAACTTATTGTTTTTATTTAACCTGTCGTCTTTTTGAGCATTTGAAAAATGTGCTAAGACAATCAAATTTGGGCGAATTGATTTAAATTGTAGTTTACTATTTTTATCGGGAATAAGTAGCAATTTTACTCTAAAATAACTTTATTTTAACGTTTTGATTTCCACTTCAGAAATCGTTTTCAAAATACAAAACAAAAATAAATATAATTTATTAATGTTTTTTATGTTGAGAAAGATTTTTGAAGTGAAAACCGTAATATCAAAATAAAATTATTTTAAAGTCAAATTGAAATGAGAAATGTCAAAGAGAAATGAAAGTGAATACATACCCGGACCTATGAGGCATTCCCGTTCATTGGCTGGTATTGTACTGGCAATTGATGAGCTGGAGACTGTTGAACTACTAGGTGGTCTTGCTACTGGATCGCCTCGCACTGCAGCTGTGTGTGCCACCCATGCACCTGTAGGTATACACATAATGCAGTATTTCAAAACATATGCTTTTTTTAAAATAGATTGAATATAAAATAACACTTAATTAATATTTTTTATTATATCAACGATAAAATAATCTATGAAGCAAAAAATAGATCTTACCCGGGTCTATAGGTCTAACAGGTTCTGTTCTCGGTATTGTAAAGTATCCCTTGGGATTCGGATCCCAACATTTGGCAACTACTAACTTAATGGGTCTAAAACATCAAATAAAAATGAAATATTCATCTACAACTGTTGATTGCTACATCTCAATTTTATAAAATATGTATTATATGAAAGTATAACAATTTGTTATATAGTTGATAGTTAGATAAACTCCTTAATAAATTCATCTAAAATTGAATTGAATATTTCTAATTTCTCTCTACGTTTAATGTAAATGTTCTCTCGAAAGAAAGAATGTAATGATTTGTATAATGTAATTATTATTTATCGTTAATATTTTTTGGTTCCTCTTTCTTGTTTCATACTCTGTAATCCCTTAATCAAAAACCTCTTGATTATTAAAACTATACCGCTACGTCGATTAAGAACCGAGTAACTAGAACAGACATCAGAAAGGTTTGTCCAAAAAAACTACTACGAGGCTGAATGTATCAAGAAGTGTCGTAAGTAGACAATGAAATCAGTTTGTAACAACGAAAACTACAGCCTATAGACGTGGAAAAGGACGAAAACGAATTAGGTTATGCTGAAGATCATTTCATAGTCAAATGCAAAATAAAACAGAACATGCGTAGCTTCAAGAATAAGCAGATTCTTCAAGATAACACTCTTGAAAAAGTAATTACAGTAGTCTCTCTTTATAACGATTCCCTATATAACGATAATTCCTCTATAACGATGAAAATAGTAAACGTTGGTTGGTTCGTCATAAGGACAATGTATTAATTCTTTCTCTATACCGATATCGTTCTCTCTTTATAGCGATGACTTTTCAGCGTTCAATAGTCGATGACAAATGTGTTTAAATTTCAGACTACCGGAGTCACGAGTGGCAAGGTCATTGTCCAGCGGCTCGCTTTTATTCTTTGGGCGGCGTGACTACCTGTTATCACACATATGTTGTCATCTATTGACGACTTTTCATTTCCAGTTTAAGTTGTCTCTCAGTGTGTCAACAGTCAAAATGTTTTCGAAAAAGTGTAAAGTGCTCTCGGTGGAGGAAAAGTAATCGATAACTCGAGCAATAGAGAAAGATGAAAAGTAATCGGATGTCGTTCGCCGTACGGGGCTGTCTCAGTCAACTATGGCTAAGATATGGAAGGACAGAAAAAAGTGACTTGCAGCGAAGATGGAGGACGGTAGCAGAAAGAAGTTGCGGAAACCTCAGCACGAAGATTTAGATCGCGCTATGCTTTAGTGGTTGCAGTAGGAGCGTATGCACCATATTTCACTTTCTGGGCCTGTGGTCAGGACAAAGGCTGAGTTTTTTGCAACTGAGCTTGGAATTGAGAATTTCAAGGCATCTGAGCAAGTGGAAACTGCGGCACAAGATCAACTACGGACAAATCAGCGGAGAGGCTCGCGATGTTAACAAAAACGTAACGGATGATTGGCTAGAAAACGTGTGGAGTGGACTGAAGGCACGATATGCGTCAGACGACATTTTCAATGCTAATGAGATTGATTGACACCAAACAGAACTTTAAAATTTAAATCGGAAAAGTGCGTTGGAGGAAAGCTGGAAAGCAACGCATTACAGTTTTAGGGGTCGCTAACATGACAGGTTCGGTGAAGCGAAAATTTTTAGTGATAGGAAGTTGAAAGACCCACGTTACTTTAAAAACATAAAAAATCTACGACCTATAAAGCAAACAAGAGTGCGTTAATGACTTCGGAAAATTTTTAAGAAGCGCTAAGAAAGTGGGATATCGAGCTTAAAGGGAAAAAAATTCTTCAACTTGTAGACAATTGTCCTGCTCATCCTGTACTGTGTGACCTTCAAAGCATTGAACTTTATTGTCTGCTAGCAAATACAACGAGTGTCCTTCAGCCCATGGACAAAAGTGTCATCAAGAGTTTAAAAAGCCATTACAGGAGAAGACTTTTGATGGAATTGGTGAAGAACAATGGCGATCTTAAACTAAATATTTGTGACGCCATCCTAATGATTAGTAAATCCTGGGACGAGGTGACGAGCAATACAATAAAACATTCCTTCAAACAAACAAGATGGCTGGAAGATCAAGGATTGACTGATGATGAAGATTACCTGCCATTAGTTGTTTTGGCCAGACAGTTTGAACTTATTATGACCGAAAGAGCTAACAGATTTTGAAGAAATGTAGCTACAACATCTGGGTTTTCTGACAAGGACATCCTAAAAGCAGTTCGTGTCGAAGAAAAAGAAAACAGTGACCCGGAAGTGGAAGCAGAGCCAGAACCAGCTCCGACCCCTCAGCAGGCATTGGATGCGGCAAAAGTACTGCATCGATTCTTCATCCACCATGAAAACGATATGACTGCTGTGGAAGATTATATGCGTCTTCAGGACAAGGTCAGGTCAGTTCTGTGGAAAGTTAAAAGGAAACAGACCAAGGTGAGAGACTTTTTTGATAATGTAGGCTATATTTTATACTAGCATATTATTTGTTATTGTACAGTACACATGTTTTAATTGTACAGTCATTTTTTTATACTGTATTGCTTATATTATTTTTTAATAAATGTATGTTGTGTACAATACAGTGTTAATTCATTTATATTCGTTTTGATAATTTTTTTTAATTTAAAATAGATTATTTAGTACAGTATTATTAATATTACAGTACCGAATTTTGTCTCTCTCTATATAACGATCATTCCTTATAACGATGAAAATTCCCGGTCCCTTGCATATCGTTATAGAGAGAGGACTGTAGTTGTCAGGCCACATGCAACGTTCTTCTGTACCAGAAGAACGTTGCATGTGGTCAATTTAAAGGCTAGAGGAGGTGCGAAGAAGCGTTCATGCAGATTACTGAGAACAAGAGATCACAACAATAACGAGAGTTTTTAAAATTGGAATCATTGTCTGCTTGGAAAGAAAATAGTGATACAATGAGACATTTCAAATTCATTTATTGGTGTAATTTTGCCAGTAGCCTAACACTCGTCAAAATAAAAGCAGAACAATAGTTCTATTAAAAAATCTTAAATTCTAATTACATAAAAACTCATATCAGTTTGAGTTAAAATAGTTTAAAATTGAAATTTCAGATATTCCTCACGACAATAATATACATTTTTTATTAAAATATCCATAATTTGACTTTTAAATTGAGTTGTGTTAAGATCCTTTAAGTTGATCAAGTTTGACACCTCTTTAGCCTCCTGTAGGATGGAACAAGATCGCACGTGTGTCTAGTGTTATGATCGTGCACCTCTTCATGAGTCCCAAAGCGCCCCCGCTTCTTTTAACCAATATAAGGGTCTCTTAGATATACAAGGAGGTCACAGTAAGAATTCCCAGAGTCTTATAGGCCAATCTCTCTAAACTCAAGGCCTACAAAGACAGCATTCCCGCCGAATGACCGCAGGCCAAGATTGCATATGTCAGATGAGAGTGAAAAATTGCATAATAAGCTATTCATAAGACCTTGTGTGAAATGCCTGATGCTAGATTTCTGAGCACATATAAGTTCTTTGATAGGTTTTTACTCAGTCAATATGTTGATCCAATTGATCCCAGCTTAGGGTCTAGGTGTACTCCAATGAACTTCACACTGTTCACATCTGCCTTTTCAGCCTGGGTGTCCCTAAGAGCAAAAGCAGCCCTGTTGGTATTTGCTTCATTAAGCAGGAATCTGTTAACACAGAACCACTCTTAAGTATCCGACAGTGCAGACCTGGAACCCCACAATGTCAATAATATATATTAGAAACCATAGGTCCAAGGACGTAGCCCTGGGGGACACCAATATTAACAACATTCATTCTCCCTTGACAAGATCTAGGACACCCTCACATATTGTACCCTGTTCTCGAGGCATGATTGGATCAACTTGACACTCTGTGGACAAAAGTTGTACCTCTGTAGTTTTTCAGGAGTATTCCATGGTGCATACAATCAAACGCTTTATGCGCTTATTGCAAACGCTTATGAAAAGATTCAAAGATGCGGGACACTAGGTTAAGAATGCCAAGAGTAGTGCTTCTCAACTGTGATCATAAAAAATAATTGTTACTTTCGAAAGAAGGTTGTGATTTGCAAAGCCATGGACTTTTCTACTATTATTGAGACGACTGGGAGCAATGCGACAGGCCTATAGTTCTCAGGGACATTAATTTCTCCTTTTTTAAATATACGTGTTATAATATAGTAGTATAATCTTTTTAGAACTGTGGAAAATGTATTATCTTTAAAGCATTGAGATATTAGTGTTTAAGAGGGCTTATGTTAATTTTTTTATGACTTTTATGGATCCAAGCACGTTTTTTTTGCAATAGAATATCAGGGATTAACAATAATGGAGCCATCTGCGCTCCACAGATGAATTATATTCACTTTAACGTGTTGACGCTGATAAATCGAGGCAGTTGGATCAGATCCAGCATCCTCTCAAATATTAGAACATCTGGCAAATAAGTTGCAAAAAACTTGCACCTCTATACCTCAAAACTTAGGTATAGACGTATAAAACTTTCAGTAATTTAATAGGAATCCTTCCAAATAGATTACCAACAATAAGGTTATATGCGTTACTCAAATTTGCCCCGAAATGATAACTACATAATAAAAGGACTCATCCTCAATCCCACATTTTGTGAGCAGTATATTTCTTTAGAAAATTGATTTTAATGATTTAATTGGCGGTCTTATATTGCAGCAGAATGTCAATAGGGGTTTCTTTTATATTAACTGCCGACGCCGACAATTTTAAAATCCAGTAATATCAACTTCAACTGTTGAAGAGTGTATTTGACTTACGGTCTGATGGAAAAAAATACCCACAAAAAAATATTCGAAGAAAAAATTGTATATTCAATGGAAATTATTAATTAATTAATATACAACAATGTTAAATATATTTGTGAATACATAATTTGTAGTAATTTGTAAATAAATCGACAAAAAAACTTACCCTGGTTTTTGTACAACTTCCCTTAATACTTTTACAGCTTCGTCATTTGACATATTTTCAAAATTTACATCGTTCACCTGTAATATCATATCACCTGGCTCTATCCTACCATCTAAAGCTACCGCCCCCCTAGAAAAATTAACGATCCTTAACACCTTGACGGACACCTAAGTTATTTAAAAATAGTCAATTTGTACAGTGTCCTTTTTGTCGATATTATTACCATAATATATTACGATAATTTACCAGATGGGTAACAGATTGGAAGATATAGATAGGTATTCTACGACAGTGGATTACGTGTTACCATGTATTTATATTATAAATATAACGCGGTACAGCGTTCTGCCACGATATTAGATTTTGTTAAGGACGCTTCACAGCGTTCTGTCACAACACAATTTTAGAAAAAGACGCTGCACAGCGTCTCTGTCCATCAACGTGTTAAAAAGTATATCTCTACAAGATTTGCATATGTTCCAATATACAAATCTTGTAAAAACGATAATCAATGCAGAATTCAAACGTAAAATTTTGCAACATTAGAAATCCTAACATTTGCTACTTGGTGAAAAATTTGAATTTAGTTTCGTCAAGTAGGAAATGTTAGGATTTCTAATGGTGTTAGTAGATGGCGTTGTAACGTCTGTAAATAATTATTTCTATAATTATTGTACTATGAAGGAGATATTTAATTTCGATTTAGAGCCTCTACATATGACGCTCTAATGATATCTAATAAAGTTGAAATATGTATACATAAATGACAGATTTACGTATACGTACGGGATTTATTTCCCCATTGTATTATAAAACAAATGCAACAAACAACTTACATACAAATTTTTATATTAGGTACAGTTATATTAAAAAAAAAGGGTACAAGTATTAGAAAGAGAAGTTAACGTCATCGTATTTGTGTAAAACCGGCTGGGATTTTTGGAGGTTATCAAATGTCACAGGATATTAAAAATATAAATCATTGGCGTTGAGCATTAATTAGACGAAACCATTTTTTCAACAATTATATAAAGAATAATTTTAATGACTGTTACAAATAGAATTTAGTATTTGGTGATAGAACCGTCTGCTTCTATAACTTTGTTTAGTCTATTTGGCATACTTTGAATTATATTAGATATCATATTTGGATCAAGATCTTCCCAGCACTCTAAGATTGTATCCCACAATTGATCTGAATTTTGTGGCATAAAATTTCTTTTATATATTTTTTTAACAATTATGCCCCAAATGTTTTCAATTGGATTTATATCTGGACTGTGTGCAGGCCATGGCAATACTTCCAGGTTTTGCGTTTGAAACCAATTCCTTACATCATGGGCAGTGTGGACTGAACAATTATCTTGTTGATATATAAAAGTATTATTAGGATACAATTGCTCAATAGAAGGGAGCATTACGTGTTCCAAAACGTTAATGTAATTGTCGGCAGTAAATCTTCCCTCTAATCCCCAACAAACACCAGGTTTATGTATACTAATCCAACCCCATACATTTACAGAAAAACGTCCAGATTTATTATGAAAGTGAATATATCGTTCTTCAAACCTAGTATTGGCTGGACGATAAACACGGATTTGACCGTTATAGGTCGATTTAAAAGTCTTTTCATCAGTAAAAATGACGTTGTTCCAAAATTGTGGGTTGCGGTAAATATAGTTTAGTACAAATATTACTCTTGCTTGCCAATGTTCAACAGTTACTAATGGTTTTTTAGCAGCTGGTCGGTTTTATAATTCAGATTCAATGATCCTTCTGCTTACAGTAGGTTGGGCACCACGAAATCCCGTATGAATCCTTGAATCCTTCGACGTCGAAAATGGATTATCTCTTAAGAATTGAACTAAAGCAGCATCTTGTTGAGGAGTGGATACTTTGGAACGCCCTGAACCAACTTTTCTTTTTAATGATTGTTGTTGGACCCATCGTTGCTTAATTCTGAAGATTGTTTTCAAATTTCTATTATAGAAATTTGCTAGCGCACGAATTGACCATCCTTCTTTCATTTTCGTAATTATTTGAGCCTTTTCAATCTCACTTAAATGACGAGGCATATTAATTTTTTATTGTACGTAACGTTAAACCTTCTATCAAATTAAACCTCTTTGACGTCTATGAGTTGCATTTTTGATCACTTATGACATTTGATAACCTCCAAAAATCCCAGCCGGTTTTACACAAATAGGATGACGTTAACTTCCCTTTCTAATACTTGTACCCTTTTTCTTTGAATATAACTGTACGTACAAATAAAAAAACATTTATAGTGTGGACGTTTTGGGCTATTTTATTATTAGTCAATTTTCAAAACAATAATTTAACCTCGCAACGGGTTTAATAAAAATTTTTTTGTATGGTTAAGATTTTTACATCTTGAATTATGGTTTTCAAAATGGCCTAACATAAAATAGTCTGAATCTTCAACACTATAAATGTGTTTTATTAACATATTTTTTTGTTGATTTCACGAGTGAATTGAAAGAAAAAATAATTATTCAATACCGTCAGAAAATTATTAATTGTTTGATGACCACCGAGAAAAAAAAAACAAATGAAAGTATTAGGCAGGTACTTGTAGAGGATTATCGTTGTTAACTGCTATTGAATACAGAAGGAAGATTTAGAAGGAAGAACCTTAAACTTAATTCGTTAGTTAGTTCATCGAAATCAGTTAATAAAAAAACAACAAATGCTGACACTACAATATGATCATGCTAAAAAAATGAAAACAGATTCTTTGTTTTTATAGTAAAATTACTTTGATCTGATAATAAATTATCAACTGAACTAACCCTTTCATTATTGATCCGACATATATACCACCATCTCCTCCTTTATTGCTCTGGCCCACTATAGATATACCAAGAAAATTCACTGTATCCATATTTAGAGTAACTGTAATTATATTTAATGACATGGTAGAATCCGTTATACTTGAGTAAGAACTTGTTCTGGACATCGGCTACAAATAAAGTATTTTATTGAATTTCCAGAACACAAAAGAGTTTAATAAAAGAATACCTGTAACCGCTGTTTCCGTCGTCTTTGAGGTCTTTTTCTACTAGCAACATGTAACCTACTAACACTGGAACATTCTGATAGGACAGTATGCCTTCCTGTGGTTTCTGACTGAAAACTGGTTGTTTCCAAATCTGAACTTAGTACAGACGCAGATTCGTACACTCTGAAAAAGTAAAGACAGTACTTATTAATTCTGTTCTATCCACCTAAAGAAACAAACTTTAGACAAGAATGATTTTAGTTAATGAGTATATTTACCTTGGAAGATGTCCATTAATACGAGATGAGTATTTGTGATGTCTTCTACCCTGTCTTGAGCTTATAATACTTTCTGTATCAGTACAAACTGAGTCTGCTATCGCAGGAGGTAACCTAGTTTCTGATTGGTGTGTAACACTGTCTGTACATTGGGAACCGCCATCTGATTGATTTGAGCCTTCGGCTGAAACCAACTGAACAAAAAATCAAAGTTTAACCTTGATATTCCACAATCAATCTGTATATTTTTTAAAATAGATGTTAAGCAACAGAACTTACCCAACTAACTACTCGTCCATTAAAACATGGCAAATTTGCAGAGTCTTCAATGATTTCCTCTTTTACGACACTAAAATAAAATACAAACAATTTTAGTTGTAAAACCACTGTAGAATATTCAAAAAATCGATTTTTTTTGTTATTGGCTTAACAGATGCTTTGAACCTTGCAGAAAGGGTGAAAAAGTTCTAGTTTTTTCTTTAAAATTCCAAACGCTTTCCTGGGGGCACTACCTGTAGCACATAAATACCTGCTGGAAGAGTACATTCTAATGACTTTCCTATTAATTTTTAAATTCTCTAATATAATGAGGGATGTTGTTAAGAGCTTGTGTTTATTTGAAGTATTTTAAGAAGACAGTATGTGACAGGATGTGACAAAACTGTAGTTATTACATGATTGACAAATAAAAAGCTGTAAGTTTAATGTTATGGTTCAAATTGAGTAGTGATGCACAGTAAAGGACACAGTATCCTGTTAGTATTACTTAGCCTATCCTACTCAATTCTGTCTCCCACTTCAAAGCTCTAAACTCTGAAGTAGATAGATAGGGTTCCTTCTGGAGCGGAAGTGACGTCACACGTCGATCGTCAAGCGTACGTATCCTCATGGGCCAAGGCCACGCCCCCCTCGTGACGTAGGAACGTGCCTAGGGTCTCGAGGCCACGCCCCTCGACCAATGGTGACGTAGGAACGTATCTCGTGTCTCTAGACCACGCCCCTCGGCCAATGGTGGCGTAGGAACGTCCCCCCATGTCTTGCTGACCAATGGTGGACGTTCTCGTGACGTCGGAACGTGTCGTCGACCAATGGCAGCATAGCAGCGTCAGTGGTGGGAATAGCAACACCCCCAGCGACCAATGACAGCTCAGAATTTGAATAAACATCATAGAAATGGCGGTCTAGCGATGAGGAACCAATGGTGACATAGTAACGCCCTCCTCGTGACGTCGGAACGTGTCGTTGACCTATTCCCACCACTGACGCTGCTATGCTGCCATTGGTCGACGACACGTTCCGACGTCACGAGAACGTCCACCATTGGTCAGCAAGACATGGGGGGACGTTCCTACGCCACCATTGGCCGAGGGGCGTGGTCTAGAGACACGAGGTACGTTCCTACGTCACCATTGGTCGAGGGGCGTGGCCTCGAGACCCTAGGCACGTTCCTACGTCACGAGGGGGGCGTGGCCTTGGCCCATGAGGATACGTACGCTTGACGATCGACGTGTGACGTCACTTCCGCTCCAGAAGGAACCCTATCTATCTACTCTCTGAAAACCTGAACCCAAAGACTGTATTAACACCCAATCCAGAGGGAAACAGGGTTAGGGCTAATGATGTAGATATTCGGATGATTTCAATACTCGTATTCAACGTATTCGAATGATCTAAATACTCGGATTAATTATTCGATTCCGAATTAATTCAAAGAGGACGACATAAGTGGGTGAAGTCAGAGTAGAGCGTGCGTATACGGTGCTTACTGTGAACATTACAGTTGGCGGAGGCGAAAAAGGAACAAGTTAAAGATGGGATAACCGTTTCGGTGTAACAGTTAATCTAATTAGGATATAATATTATGATTATGATTAATTATTTCATAAACAATGAATAACAAGCACTAATAGAAAAAAGGTATAGTTGTTATTGTTTTAAGGATTTAAAAATTATTATAATTCAGTTTTTTATTTACTAAATATAATTTATGTGAATTTCTTATAATAAATTATCGTCCACCTCTTCTTTATTTCTAACTAACGTCTCCCGTAAATCCCATAATTTGGGTGATAAGACACAGTAATACATTTTATTAAGTAAGACGGTGTTGCTTAACCTTTTCTGGGACTAGTGTTCAGTGTATGCTTAGAATATTTATTAAATAAAGTAGTGTTAAAAGTGTAAAAGTCGTGTAAAAAAAAATGGCACCAGCAAAAAAGTCCATTGTATGGATTTTTTTTAACAAATCTGCTACAGATAAGAGTCTTGTTACTTGCAAATTGTGCTTTCAACAACTCAAGTACTTTGCAAGTACAAGTAATTTAAAGCAGCATGTTATGTGAAAACATAACTTGCAATATACTCAAGAACTTAACAAAGAGAGTTTCGTTCCTAATAATGAAGTAGAAGAAAGTGAAGGAATACAATTTAATGAAAATCCAGCGCCAGCAGTGACCCCTCAAACTGAGATTGCTTCTACATCGAGTAGTTCTAATGCTCCTTATTATAACACAGTGGAAGTCTCAACATCTTCAAAAAGAAGTGCTAGTGTTAAATATTCGCAACCCGTCGTCAAACGTGCAAAACAGTTAAAAATTTATGGTGCCAAGAACACAAATGAACTGTCAGAAAAACAAAAGACTGATTTAGATTTAAGTTTATTAAAATTAATCGTTACAGATTTTCAACCTGTATCTATTGTGGAAAATCGTGGCTTCATAGAATATACCAAAAAGTTAAACCCATTATACACCTTACCAAGTAGACAAGTTTTAACAAATAGACTATTACCAGAAAAATATGTGGAAATTCAAACAAAAATCAAAACCTGTTGGGTACTGTACAATATGTTTCTCTAACCACAGATATTTGGCAGTCAGACAGCAACAAGTCATACATTTCAGTGACCTGCCATTTTATAAACAACATGAAATTATGTTCTCAAACCTTAAGTGTCAAAGAATTGGAGCAGGAGCATCACACTGGTCGAAATGTAGCAGATCATTTATCTAAATGCATTGAAGATTGGAATTTGGACAATAAGATAGTAACATTTATTTCTGATAATGGCTCGAATATAAAAAATGCAATTATAGAACATTTGCGAAAAAACCATCATCCTTGTGTAGCTCATACGCTAAATTTGAGTACCAAAGAATCTCTAAATGGCAATGCAATTCTGAAAAATATAATTATAAAAAGTAAAAGATTAGTAGGATATTTTAAGCATAGTGGACTTGCTACAATGAAATTAAAAAACTGTCAGGAACAAATGAACTTACCCGTGTTAAAAGTGAAGCAAGCTGTAGATACCAGGTGGAATTCTGTTTTGTTAATGTTGGAAAGACTTTTAATAATTAAAGACAGTTTAACCATAGCCCTCACAAATTTGCCTGCAGCACCCGAAAATCTAGATGCTTCAGAATGGGCCATAGTGATAGATTGTGTACCAATTTTAAAACCTATGGAGTTATTAACCAGTGAACTATCTGCAGAAAAATATATAACTATGTCTCTTATAGTTCCTTTAGTTCGAGGTTTACAGTGGCATATAAAAGATTTAAAACCTATGACAGATGTTGGATTATGGCTGCAAAATCAATTGATCGAAATCGTTTCTAGGCGTTTAGGGTCTCTGGAGGAAAACAAAATAGTAGCAAAAAGTACATTTTTAGATCCACGATTTAAAAAAACTGGTTTCGGTCTAGAAGCAAATGCGAATAATGCTCAATCATGGATTATTGATGAGCTTACATCAATGATCTCTGCCACTTTCGAAAATGCTGATGAAGCAAGCGATCGACAAGAACAGGTTACAAAACCAAGCGAGTCTGATAATGTTGTGCCAACCTCCTCAAAAATTTGTCTCTGGTCACATTTTGATCAAAAGTTAGCAAAAGTGAAAACTAAAACAACACCATCTACTTCAGCAGCTCTCTGTGTAAGACAGTATTTAGAATTACCTTACTGTCCTAGGTCCGATAATCCCTTAGATTTTTGGGAGAAGCATAAAAATAGTATGCCCGAATTATATCGCCTCCATTTAAAATATTTATGTGTACCTGCAACATCTGTACCTAGTGAACGACTATTCTCGAAAGCCGGACAACTTACCAACTTAAGAAGAAACAGATTAGCGCCAAAAAATTTGGACATGATTTTATTTTTAAATGGTTGTTTATAAATTAATATTTCTTTTCTATTTAAAAATTTTGTAATTTTTTTTAATAAATTTTTTCTTTTTTTATATATGTATTGTTTTAATTTTGACAATTTGATTTATTATATTGTTACTATTTTACTTTTTACTAAATATTTTCTTTAAAACCTGATTATTTTTGTTTTTAATAAATAAACGCACCAAGCAGTTCTATCATAACATTAACAATTATTAAATTCGTATAACAGTTCAAGAAAATATAACCGTTCCCGTTACTTTTGCATTGACTTGACGGAGTCGCTCTCCAACATTCCGAATCTGAAGGAGATGCCGAAACCAGTAGACCGTTTTTATTCGGATCTGTAACCGTAATCTGTATCGACTGTAAATTCAACACAAGACATCCGAATAGTATTCGCATTCGTATTCGTATCGTCAAAAAATAATCGGATTAATCCGAGTAATTGAATATTCGGATTAAACGAATATTTTAATTCGAATTCAGACATCACTAGTTAGGGCTACACCTGTATCCTTAAAAACATATTGATCATTTATTTATTTAACCTCCTTTAAAACACTATACATATAAAACAAGTAAAAAACACTATACATCTAAATTAAATTTTAAGACAACAATTTTTGCAAAACTAGAAATTTGTTCCAAAAGCAACTTTTATTTGTTTTGCAGAAGAATTTAAAAATTCTATATCACAGTTAATTATCACTTGGTTACATTCGTCTAACATCTTATTTATGGCTGAACAATCATTCTTATTAGTTGAAAACAGTAGTTTCTTATTAATTCTTAGATGTATTTTTGGAACATTAAATTTAATATTATTTATAAAAAAGCAATCTTTATATTTAATGTGATTTACAACATAGTAAATAAAAAGAGCTGAATGAAAATTTCTTCTATTATCCAGTCGCTGAACTTTAAAACAAGGTAACATAGCATTATAGGAAATCATGTATGGATAGACACCAAACTTTCTGACATAAAGAAACCTCAAGAATCGTTTTTGAACTTTTTCAATCAGATCAATATTGAATTCAGCTTGTGCTGCACATATAATAGAGGCATACTCCAAGTGCAGTCTTACCAGTGCAATGTATAATGCAGAAAGAGTTCTGTATGCCTTTCCAATGATGATCCGATAATGTTTATCGGATCATTTATGTAATCTCAAATTTTGCTGAAACATTAGTCCAAGATTCAGTGCTAGAAATTTTGTATTGGTTCTCCATGTATTGTGTTTTTTGAATGATAGTAAAAACATGACATTTAGAAGTGCTTAGAAGCATTTTGTTGTCATCGAACCATTGACTTACTGAATTCAGATCACATTGCAACATCTCAGAATCCTGTAGAGCCAAAATTACTTGAAAAATCCTAAAATCATCTGCAAATAGCAGGCTTGTCGAAAACTTCACACAGTGACGTTAATCAATTACTATTTAAGTGGGAATAAGCCACAATCAAAGGTTAAAGTATGTTTATTGATGTTTAAATTTCCAATTTGGAAATCGTTCTCAAAATACAAACATTAGTAAATTGTTTGTATTTTGAAAATTTAATAGTAGTTAATGAAATAGTAATTAACTAACGTTTGTATTTTGATGTAAATGCCACAAGAAAATAGCTTCAGAACAATATTCAGTGACGTAAATCGTTAATAAATATACCGAGAGAAGAGGACCAAAGTTGCTACCTTGTGATACACCTGATGTCAACAAATGGCTTAGATAAACTGTTCCCCACTTTAACTTGATTTAACCGTCCCGTTATTAAATTGTGCCATGCCGCCAAAAATTCATGAAATGAAACAATCAGTGTTATGCTATTTTATCATTTGGTGGTAAGCACTTTCCTGAAATAATTCTCTTTAATTTTTAATATTGAACTGCAATATCAAACAAATGAGAATTAGTTAGTTTTTTTAATTAATAAAAACTATAATAACTTTGAAGCACTATTTTGATTTTTTGCGTTTTATTTCTAAAAGAAATACAATAGTTTAAATTAAATGTCTAAATTATACTGGTGTTTCTCTGCTATTTGGAAATTTTCTATACAAAACTGAACCTAAGCAAATTTTATTAAATGTTGAGATCGTTTGTTAATAAAATGAAGGGATATAGCAAATTAAATATATATCTTTAAAACACCCACACATTGAATAAAAAACATTACTTCTGTTAATTAATTATCACAACCGATATTTTAGGCTGACTTAATACTTTGAAAAATTGGCACTTTTGAAGTAACTAAAGTAATTAATATTAATTATGATACTTTACAAAAAATCAGTGTTAACATTGTACTTTAGGAAAAAAAAACTTTAAATTAAATTATTTCTCAAAGACAGGTAAAGATATAGGATAATAATAAAATTATTTTTGTCTAAGGATGCTTAGCAGTTTTTTTATGTATATGGATATTTTTTATTCAATTATTTATTAATGACTAACAAATAAATACTTATATAAATACTAAAGATTTGTAATTCTGCGAAAGGGACATACCAGAGAACTGTATTTTGAGGTGTTTGAGGTTAAATAAAATACTGAATATGCCGTGACATGATGTGCCAAGAATGCGTAATAATATGGTTATTAATGCAAAAAACTTACCTTATTTATTATATACAATTAGCTTGGAACAAGGATTTTCCATTTAGTGAAAATTACCCATACATTGATTTATTATTTATTTTTTCCAGTTACAAGCCAATGGTTCAATGCAGTTTATGATTTACTCATTAGTAAAATTTCTTTGGTATACACTAACTTGTTTCTCTTTAATATGAGATGATCTTGAATTACTTTTGAAAGATATTGTCATGAAGCATCTCAAGAAATGTTGAGGTTACTATAACAATTCAACCTGTCTTAAAGGGAAGACACAGTTTTAGTACATACAGAAAGGGATGCTGGCGAATCAAGGTCACCAGAACATGATACCCTTCAAAAATGTGAACTAAACAACTTTAATGATGGCATAAGTAATTATTATATAAATATATCATATATATATATATATATATATATATAATATATATATATATATATATTATATATATATATATAATATATATATATATATATATATATATATATATATATATAATTATTGCTGTTGGTATGATAGTCAAAGCTAACTATATCTGAATAATGTATTCTCAGCATTCTCAACTACTTGAAACATAATTTGGTAAGCAAAAAGATTAAAAACAAATCTTGAACCAGATGACAGCCATGGTTATTCATATGAGGATGAGCTGGAAAATACCAAAGAAGTTGAAACCAAAGTGCTATTAAAACATACAACTTCTTCCAGTTGACCAAACTCATCCACCTCATTTTTGGATTCTGAAAGCTTAATGTCTACAATACATTTTAAAGAAGTCTCTCAAAAGAGTAACAAACCACAAACTGACCTAACTTCTACAATTATCCATTCAGTTGGTGCATTAGAAGAACATGCTGTGTAGTACAAGGCAAAGCAATTAGAGCAATTGTGGATCTAATGTAAATATTTTTATATTCTCATTAAAAAGTTTCTACAATAACTATCACATGTTTACTTAAATTTATTTAAAAATGGTTTCTATTTCAGGTTTTGACTGGCATTAACAAGAGAATAAAATCTTGTATGATGAATAACTATTTCTCCTATATAAACTGATGAAAGTGATTGACAATACTCTAGATGGCTGACTTACTTTTAACTTTAAGGATCAATTCAGTTACTAATGTGAATGTGGAAAAAAAATTCTTTTACCATTATGCTTCGATTCTGTGTGCCCTGATAGTGATACTTCGAACCAGGAGATAAAAAGTGGGAATTCACTGAGTTCCAGAATATAGAGTTTCCAGAAAATTAACAAGAACAAGGCAAAATATAATGAACCACTATGCTGGATATTTTGAATCATTTTGACAAATTTCACAATATAAACAAAACAATAACTGGCAACCAGAAATAGAAGAAGATACATTTACCAGTAGAACTTTTAAATCACTTGTAGAAAACTATAATATATTTAATTTATTGAACTTTAAATACTGAATCTTGCTTAAATGGTATAGTTTCTGTAGATATAGGCTACGGAGTAAGATAGAGGAACTCATTAAGCTCTATGTTCTTTAATTTAATCATAGATAAAGTCATCAAAAGACATTTTTAATAAATCATCCAAAATTTTGGCATATGCATTATTAATTGAATTAATTTAATTTAATATAGATATCCCATATACATTTATTTAGGCTTTTAAGGCAGATTATTGTAAATTGCTTCACTGCTTGACTATGCCTTCTCCAAAGAACAATACCTCATCTGGAGTCCCTTTTTCATTTTGTGGAGATTAAAAACTACCAATTTTTAGGTGGGTAGCAAGAAATATATCAATAATACTTTTATTATTTGAAACCCATATGTATTAAGAAAGTAGTTATATAAACACCTTTATTGTAAATTGCTTCACTGCTTGACTATGCCTTCTAAGGAACAAATGCTGCCTTTATGCAATACCTCATCTGGAGTTCCTTTTTTATCTTTTGGCCTATAAAAACTACCAATTTTTTTGGGTTGGTACTTAGTAAGAAATATCGCAATAATAATTGTATTAATCTGAACCCCATGTCATATTAATAAATTGTATTAAATGAGTAGATATATAAGTAAACACCTAAATTTAGTTTATTTGAGATTTACACAATTATCACTCATATATCAAAATAAACAAGTTATTTGATGTTTCTGTTTCTAAAAAATACATTATTTTTTAATCCAAAATACATTTAAAAATTATATTTTGAAAACAACTTCCAACATCTTGAAACCCAAATGTGAAATAAAAAAAATATATAATTTGTGGTTCGTTGTCAACAAGATATTTGATAAAAACTTCATAAACATTTTTACAGACAGAACCTTGATAAGAGAACAAATTATCATTTCTTACATATTATTTATTTTGAATTGAATAAGTTAAGTTAAATATCAACATATACAAAATAAGTCTTCCAAGATGCTCACAGTAAGACTGGTCTGGAATTAGAATATTGAAAGAAAAAAATAAACTAAATAAAACCTGGGGGCAGATTTAGAAAATCTTGAAATAATCCCTATAAAGGAACTATTAGATATATATTATTGAAGGCAGACTACATTCTATAGTACACTTTTCTACAACAAAATCATCAATTATATTTTGAAGCACTTATAAAATTGAAGTTACAATTGGATTAGAATTGTGAATTTAAACTCCCATGTTTTATGACTGTAATAAGACCTTTAATTTTTTAGTTATTTTCATGTATAAATGTACATGAGATAATGCAAGATGTATTAAACTCTTAATTAACATTAATTTATATATTTTATAGCTAATAGTTTATATGGTAATGGCTTCATCTAAAAGGTAATGCATCCTACAATGAATACAAATTGATAGAAAATTTTCTATTTCTAATTATGGTATTGATGTTCTTACAGATGGGTGAATTATTTTTAAACTGCACATACTTGCGTAAAATCAATAAATTTCAATTCAAGTAAATATTTAATAACGTTTTAAAGATATATGAATTGTTTATTTTAGCAAAAACCTTTAAAATATTTAGGTGGCAGCTATGATCTAATTGGGAATATGTTTTGTTTACTTTGAAAGGATATTATTGATTTTGAAGAACATAGTGCACACTTTCTCTCCTTACGTATCTATAAAATTATTTTGGATACGCAATAAAATTGTAGTGTTATTTAATAAGAGAAGGAAAAACTCACCCAAAATCATCGTCCATCGATTTAAAGAAAAATTTGTAGTTAGGCCTGTTGAGAACATTTTTAAAATCCACTAAAGTCACTTTATCCGGGGCTATTGGTATTTTTACTAAATACGGGGTTTCTTCATCGTCTATGTGATAAATAACTTTCGTTTCTTCCATTTTTTCATGCACTATTTTACAAAATTATTACTTTTCTGACAGAAGCAATAACACACTCAACATGGCGGACACAATAATATCATTGTGCGATTTAGGGACTTTTAAACTGGGTGATGGTTCCTTTCACCAATAGCCAACATATTATCACAAAACTTACTTTACTGACAGCTTGAAGAATACTTACGTTTTGTGAATTATTTTAGTTTGGCCCTATTAGAACATGCTACGATTTAAACAAGAGATATAGCAATAAAAAAATGTCCTAAAATTACACAATTTTTTAAAAATTGTATTATAAATTATAAATATTGCACACATTACTAATTTGCACTCAGCCGTGAGTTCACGTACTCAATTCAAGGCTCGTAGCTCGTACACCTCGAACGTATGAATCATTCTACTCGAACAGTTCTCAGAGATTGCTTTATGTCAAAAGATGTATATTATTTGTTATTGGGAATGACATTAATTTAAAAATACTTTTAAAAATCACTTTCTAAATTTTTTAATATATCAAACATATCCAGTGAATAATTGTTATGAACAAGTTGACCGGAAAATTAAAACGCGTTCGAATTATATTACGACAGTATTTAATATTTACGCGAGTTTAAATAAAGTATTTCAATATTTACAAGATTAGATAGCACATACTTTACACATTAACCCTTATTTAAAGCATTTTAAAAGTAGATCTTTTATATTAATATTATAACAAGAATGGAGAGCACCGTTCGATTCATACAAAAAGGTAAGACTATTTTTTAACAATTTAATAATATGTAAGAAATGAAGGCCTTTCACTAATTTGGTAATTTTTATTAACATCTGATTTTGCTCTGAAATCATCTTCCAAATTTAAGTAATTTATTAACAAGATAAAGCTATCATAATATTCTAAAAGTTAAATTTAAATGCTAAAGCAACAATTACAATACAATCTGGTACAGGTCATACCCAAACCCAATGTTCTCATCCTGTTGTTTGATTGTTATCTAGTTTGTAAACTTTGAATTGTTGGTGAATAAAAGAGTTGAAGTTTGAATCAGTCTAACAGATATCTTTCACATGCATCCACATACATTGTAAATAAACAGTATTTCTAATTTTTTAGATATGGAGTTGAATGACCTAATAACTATGAAAATCCCTTCCTATGGATTTTTAATAATGAAATAACTATATATTTTAAAGACAAATAATTTTGCTGGTCTTTTCTGTCTATTACTTGTTGATTCATATATTTTGCTGAGTCATATTGATCATTTGAGGAAATCTCACATTTAAAGAAAATTTTTAAATACTGATTCATATTCATATATATATTTTTAAAGTGATAAATGGCATGCATCCATGTATTTGTTGAAAATTCTTCTTAGTAGGCTAGTGTCATTATCTTTGACCACTAGTGTGTTGATCTGTATGGGCTATAGAATATTACAACTAAATAAAAATGATTAGAAATTACATAAACATCACATCTTTTGTATATTTGTTTAGGTTCATTATATCTATGAATTTTGATTTTTTTTATAGACAAAAGACTGTGATAACTTTCTTGGCATTTGAATATGATAAATTTCTTTTCTTAAATAACTATGACTATGACTTCAAGCTTTATTTAATAAAGTTTACTACATAAATTCAAACAAGGTCTTACAATGATAAAATATAGATATTTTACAAATCATTGTGCAAAATAATATAAATCCTATAAACAATATCTGGGTAAATACCAATGGCCAGTTTATCTTATCTTTTTTATCTGACAATAAGTTGCAAAACCTATTTAACAAAAGGTTATTTAAAGAAGTCATCTCATAGTTTTTTCTCTATTTATTTCTATTTATAAGGTGTTAGTACTAACAATAAAGTAGGTCACATCAGGTTGTTTTACAAAGTATTTCTATTAGTGTATAAAACATTTTAAAACTATGAAACAATGCAAAGTAATTGTGTCACAAGATTGTAAACTTAAGTATCATTGTATCAGCTTATTCAGATCATTTTTAACCTTTGTATCTTTTCATCTACCTTGGTTTGGTTTGTGATTGAATTTGTGTAATACTGGTTGCCTACATTATGGGAACATTTGTACTAATGTAACATGAATTTATGTTAGGAATATATTTGCCTGAAGCAACTGCTAATAAAGTGGCATTATTTTATGACAAATATATTATTAATATGGATGTTTCACTTTTACCTTAAAACGCAGGAGCCAGTTTGTTTTTATTTTTTGTAGTTTGCTTATCAGTCATATCACTAACATAATTGACCTCCAGGAAATAAAAGCATGTAAACCATCCAAGCTATCTACATTTAACATTTTAAAAGGCAATAAACATAATTATTATCAAGAGGTAGTTAACAATAACCACTAATAAAATTTATCTGGGGATTGGTAGAAAAAGAACCAATATCCATTTCATGGATTTGGAGAACAATGGATTTATTAACTGAATCAATGGAAAGTGAATTTATTTTAAAAATTAAGAATTTCAAAATCATGGGTTTTTCAAATTCCAAAATGTCATTGTTTTAAAATAAAACATGCTAATTTTTTATATAAAAAAAAATAGTTCTAACAAATTTGAAAGACAGGTGGATATTGGTCTAAAGACAGATTAAAGATAGAGTTGATGCAAAACCTAAAGAACTTGCTAAACTTGAACAAAGGAAATATGCATGCCTGAAAAAAATTAATCCTTAAAACATGGACCATTGATACTGAATACATACTGAATTGCGCGGCAGGGTCGGACCTGCACATAGTGTCTAGTATATCTCATGTGAATTGCAAAATTTTAAGTTCGAATTCTACAAATTCAGCAAAATGTATTTGCATTTATAGGTCGTTGTTCTGTTCAGTTCTATTTCAGACTCGCTATCATCTAAATTTATGATAAATTAATTCACTTCATTCATAATGAATTCTAGGCTGAAATACTCTTCTTCAGTTTTTTCAACATACCTGCAAGTATTTGCCCATATCTCTTGAATGATTTCATTTAGCCTGGTGTTAGCCACTTATGTATGCACATAATTTTGTCATTATTTTGTTTTCATGTTGAAATTTTCTGTTAAATAAAAATTTAAATAATAATTCCTCCTATCTGCTTCTGGAATTAATATATGACATCTGTTCTTACATAAAAAAAACAAAAAATTCAAATACCTACCTTAAGAGCAACTATTTTCCTTGTGCTGTTTTTTACGAGATCCTATTTAGCTTGACTTTAAAAATCGAGACAGATGTAGTAACCTTGCGGTATACCATAATATACATAATATACATCATCATCATAGTCATTAACAACTTGGCAGATGTGTTGTGGTTCATCATTGAGCTTCTGCAGCTCAGATAGTCTGATCATTGATATTTCTCCATTGGCCGCAGTCATCTGTTACATGTGCTGCTTCAGTATATTGCTTGTTGAGAAGCTTTTTCGTGATGTTTGCCCATTGCTGTTGAGATCTCCCACATTTTCGTTGATTCTGTCTTCTTTGGGCCACCAACCGCTCTATTTTGTGTAATTTAGTAAAATTAAGTATATTTAATAAATTTTGAAAATTACTAAAATGATTAAACAAAATTTAAAAAAACTATGATTTTTAATTATGTTATTTCACACCTTTATAAAAACTGAGTTTATTCTCGGCAAAATACGAGAACTGCATACGAAAGCTGCACTCTTTACCTTTAATACGCATCTTGATTTTTGCCCATAGGACACTTTGATCAAAAGATATCGAATTGTTACCGACGAGCTGATTTTTTTATTGAACATTGATTTCGCGCGCGTAACTGACATTTAAAATCGACGGTCGCTTCAAGCGTTTTTTCTGAAAGAACGGTTCATTGTACATAAAAAGTGCAAATAAACATTTTTGTTTAAAATCACCTCAGCTACCAGCTTTTCTACATTAGTTAGTAAATATTCTGAACCTCGTGAATAAGAACACAAGACTGAGTATTTTATAGTACAGTATTACTGTTTAAATTCAAATATGGTTGTATAAATTAATCAATACATTTTGTCTCCCTGTATTCATCCGATCCCTATTGTACTGCTTAGGCTAGGGAATGCATCCCGCTAAACACAAGAGTGTACGTCGTTAAGAGGGACAGACGCAACCCGACAGTGAACCGATGCACTCATATTGAATTCGTTTTGTTCGTTGTTTTGTAAAGTAGTGTAAACCATGGTAATTAGCGGTAAGTTCACCTAGTTTTACCTGAACCTATAAATTGTTTTTGATTGTTTATTGCAACCATTTAAATTTTGATAATTATTTGCACCTATGAGTTAAAGTTCATTCATCTTGCCAGGCTATCGAAGGAAATATTGTTGATATTAATTCTCGATTATGTGGTCTCGAAGGCTCACGTTCAGCATTGCACGTTCCATGGCTCGTTGCGTAACTCTGAGTTTATTCGCAGATTTTTGCGTGAGTGTAAAGTCTCCGCTCCATAAGTTTGTACAGGTAAAACACATTGGTCATAAACCTTTCGCTTGAAAGACATGGGAATTGAACTTTTTAGAATATGGCTTAATTGCCAAATGCTGCCCAAGTTAGCCTATTCGCCTCTGTATTTCATGTGTTTGATTGTCTCTGCTTATTTTGAGTTCGTGTCCCAGATATTTGTAAGTGTCTGTTTGTTGTATGTTATTATTGTCAATAGTTATATTTCACTCATTACGAGATTTGTTATAAGTTTAGTTTTCTTAAAGTTTATCTTTAATCCTGCTCTTTCAGACAAACTTTTAAGCGAATGCATCATAGAAACTGTATCTTGTAAATTATCTGCGATTAATACAACATCATCTGCAAATCTCGTATTAATCATCAATTATTAATTCTCGTAATAGCTCATTGTTTGTTTAATTCGCCACAATTACTCTCATAAAATAATTATTCTTTTTACATACAGAACCTTCAGATACATTATTGTTATGTGTACAATATGATATAATATCATATTATTCTTAATAGTCTGTTAGTTGTTAAAGAAACATTCAATATTATGGTAACTAAATTTTACAGTAAAGAATGGTGTCTGTCTGACTTAAAAACTTGCATTTTTGTGGATATCGGACCGCACTGTTAAAGTACACCATATGCGACAAGAAAATTCTTTCAGGTTGATCTGCACTTCCCAAAAGACAAACGTACACATTCAAAAAATTTGAAAAAATTTGAGAAGGTATATGTGACCAATAGAAGTATTTTGACAAATTTCGAGCAAACTTCATGTTTTTGTTTTCGAAAAACACAAAAAACTACTTTTTTTCAAGTATAAAGCGGGAAAACCAAACAAACAACTTTGTTAATTTTCTTAGAGCATAAAGATATAATTCTAAGAAATACTTATGAATTTTTTGAAAATTTTTGAATAAGCAGTTTTGCCACAATAGAAAAAAATAATATGTTCCGGTCAAGATAACGTTTGTTTAAATCAATTAGAAAATATTAATATAAGTGAAATTTCATTAAATTTAGAACTTCTAGAAGATTCTTAACGACAGGCAAGTATAAATATAACCTACAAAACAAACTGAAAATAATAATACTTTTGCTTCTTGTTACAAAATATGTAAACTAAAAACAACAATAATAATACTTTTGTTTTTTGTTACAGATGCTCTGGCATTGTTGTGTACCTGGTTGCAAAACCAATCTCTATTCATAGAGAAGGCTGTACAATTACCAAATCTTCCATAGTATGTGCCAAACTTTTTCATGAAGATGGTATTCAGCGGACTGAACAATGAGAAGATAAAGATGGAAATGTACACATTGAAAAGTTAATATTTCCCAAATTAAAAGGCAATGCAGTTCCTAATATATTTCCTGAAGTACCATCAATCATCATATGTAACTGTTCATCGTACTAAAGAAAGAAGGAATCCCGAAGACAGAAGAAACTTTGTGCATAAGAAGAGGGAACAAGAGATAACATAATTATGTCAATTAGACTTAGACAATAATATCCCATTGAAAAACTGGACAAGTAAAATTACAAGTGATTGTGTATATTTCTATGTATTAAACATTAATCAGTTGGGACACAAGTGTGATAATATTAGTGTAATAGTTAGCAGTAATTTTAGTGTAATCCTGTAATCGTCAATGTAGGTAAGAATAGATTAAGTGGTAATGATTTGAAATGGATTTTACAATATAGTAAATTAACAAGATGGTCACAATTAGAGAACTTACTTACTCGATTAGATTTGCTTTTTAGATAAGTGATAACAAATTTGAGTATTACATTCAAAAATCTTTTGAGAATATAGGCTATTTTAAATCGATATACAAGTTATAAATGGTATGTTACATTCAACACATTTTTCATGTATACCTCTTTTAACTTGGTCTATATGACAACAAACCTATTAATATTTAAAATTGCTACTTTTGTATATCTAAGTATGAAAATTCAACAAAAGTTATAAGTAAATAGTAAAATATTTAATTTTCAATTAGATTAATTTAGAACCATATTTATATTGTGTCTGATTTCTTAGGATGAATTTTTTAATCATAATAGTTACACTAAGTTTTTACTTATCACAAATTTTATATCTTTTGTATTTTTAATAATCTTTTTAAATGTCCTGTTAATGTTTTGTGTTATTTATATGCTTAAGTACTTAAAATATTTAAAATTTCTAGTGATTCTTGACTGCATTTGATTGTAAGATTAACTGTTTGACACTGTATTTTAAGTGCAATAAATTTTACTCTAGTGATTATTTTATTGATAATATAACCTAAATAATAATAAAACTTTATATATATTTACTAGGTATATATAAGGTTTTATTAATTTAATTTCCCTAAAAATATTTCTGTAATTATCAGTTTCCTAAAATTCAAATTAGTTTAATATTCTGGTAGACCTTACAGCTGATTATCGGACTACCGACGTCATAGAATGCGGTGTTGCCTTTTTTACTTCACGTAAATTAATTCTCAATCTCTATAGGACCTATTAAACCACATGATAGAATAAAACCTTAAGAAGAATAATGAGAGAAGTGATCGTACTTACGCCAGGAATGTAATCTGATGGAGCCGTATAACCACATGAAGAAGAAAAAGTCTTATAAGAAGTAATAGATAAATTTTTGCCGTGTTTTGGAATACATAAATAATTATATTAATGTTATTTATTGTGTGAAATTACACATTTAATCGTAACACCATTTGATTGTGATATTTAACGTGTTGTTTTTATTGCAGATGACACCAAATCGACAACTGAAGATGTGGAAAATTTTAAAATTCAAATTCAGAAAATTGATGGGTCGGTGGTGAAGACACCAGAAGATCTCTCCTATGTTGATGTAGTTGTACCAGAGGGTCATTTCAATCTAATCAGGTAAGATTTTGCATAAATATAACATGTTTCAGAGCATCATTTAGTCCTCTTTCTTGCCAGTTATTGTAGAATGTATGAAAATGGTTAATAGATTCTGAAATAATTGTATTGATTGCATATTTAATACTAAAGCAAACTCCACATTGCGTGCTTCAATACCTACACGTTACACTGGATATGATAAAGCTTAGCATTTGACGAATACACTGCCAAATGATGACAATAGAGTTTTTAGGATGTTTTGAGCGAATATTTTGGTCATGGAAGATTTTTAGTTTGTAACTCCTGCTTAGAAAGGAAAGAATTCGATGAACGTTTCGAACAAAATTTTGCCTTTGCCTTGGGTGATGATGTATTCTAGTCTGTAACGCTTATCCTTCGCAGTTTCTAAGTTCTTCTTTAGTTTTCCTCTCCTACTTCTCCCAGGAACTTGAAAATAAGCAATTCTTCATATTGGTTGATTAGCATCTCGACTTTTGCTTTGATCGACCAGTCTATGTTTGCTTCTGGAACATTTTACCCTAGGAGTATACTCTTTTTCAAATGTATCATGCAATGTTGAGTACAAAATGAGTCGACTATACGGTCGAATACTACGGGACCTGATAGAGGAAGATTATCAATCGTCTGAAGACGAAGAACAAGGAGGATTTAGAGCGGTCGTTCATGTACAAATAACATCTTCTGTCTTAAACAAATGATAGAAAAGAAAATTGTGACAAATAGAGAGTTACATATGACTTTTGTAGATCTTGAGAAGGCATATGACACAGTCCCGCTAAATAAACTATGGGAAGTCCTGGGCACATCAAACATACATCAAACATTGGTTAGTGCTCTCAAAGATCTATATTATGGTTCAAACTCCCAAATGAAATTCGGAAACCTCTTAGCTGAAAAATTTGCAGTTACTAAGGGTCTCAGACAAGGATGTTGTATCTCTCCGACTCTATTTAAGATTTATATCTCTGCAGCTCTGAAACAATGGAAAAGGAAAGTCAAAGGAATGGGTATACAATTGAACGATCAGGATTACATATATACTTTACAGTTTGCAGATGATCAGGTGGTGATCTCAAATGACAAAGATGACATGAAATACATGCTTAGAAAACTAATTGAAGAATACCAGAAATGGGGATTAAATATAAATTTAGAAAAGACAAAATACCTCTCAATTGGAGCTGAAGCAGAACAACTCGATATCGATGACAATCAAAAAATAAATCCATGCAACGAATATAAATACCTGGGCGTCATCTTCGACCGTAGTGGAAAAGACGAACGAGAAACAGAACATCGAATTGTACAAGCACGAAGAGCTATAGCATGTCTGAACGGAGTTCTATGGAGTAAAGAAATATCAAAGAAAAGAAAATGGAACATCTATGAGACAATGGTTAAAACTAGCCTACTTTATGGAGCTGAGACATGGAGAATAACCGAGAAATATAAGAAAAAGGTCGAAGCCACGGAAATGGATGCCATCAGAAGATCGATGAGAATATCAAGAGCCGACAGAATACGGAATGAAGTGATAAAACAACAAATGGGTATAGAGGGCACTATAGTTGAGGATATTGAGAGAAAACAGCTCATATGGTATGGGCATGTGAGCCGAATGGGGGACGAAAGATTGCCTAAAAAAACGATGATGTGGCAACCCCCAGAGAAGAGGAAACGAGGAAGACCACCACAGAGCTGGAACCTGGGAGTTAGGAAAGCGATTAGCGCTCGAAATCTGGACGAAGACTAACTCAAGACAGAATACAGTGGCGTTTGGGAGTCGGACAATCGTAAGACGTATATATAAACCGTAATATATATATCATGCAATGTTAAAATGTTTTCAAGGCGAACTTACAACCCAACCCAATCAATATTAGCTTAATCTAGGTTTGAGTTAAAATATATATCGAAAGGAGTAGCTTTTATGATATCTCTTATGCTTTTAAAAGTTTGTATAGTTTCTGATCATTATACTGTAAACAAAGTATTAAATATTAATATTAAATATTGTATTTGACTCAATAATTCTCTTCTGGAAAAGTTTTAAATACCGATAACCTATTGTTACGAATTAATAAAAAATTGTTTGTTATGGATTTACCCAATAACTATGACATATTAATTGATTTGAATCGGAATATTAGAAAATAAGCATTTTATGCAGCCATTGGTTTTTCCATGTAAAAATACCACTACTCTCGTCGCCAGAAGATATGATTTTAATCTCTAACACTGTTGCAATATCAACTCGAAAGAAAATCCTTGACTATTTTATATTAAAGTTACACTTGTATAAAAACTAAAACTACTACAATTTTAAAATTTCATCGTTTGAAACATCGCAAAAGCTTTAAAATGGCGTATTATAAAAGTTTTAGACGTATGGCAATTATGCGGATATCATATGACAGTTAAGGAGTTTTACTATTAGATGTACCAAAAAAAGTAAAAAAAAACATTTTTATTAACGACAAATTCTTTTGTAAAAATTTGGTTGGTTTTGAATCGCTATCTGGAAAATCTCCTCTACATAGACATTGAATAGTCTTCAACTTCTTCGTGTGCCTCATCATTTAAGGACATTGGTGATCATCACGGCCCATTTTACTCTGTCTTCAGCAGTTCTAAAGAGTTCTGCTGTTGTTTTTTCACTCCACTGCTTTGAATTTTTCAACCAGGATGTACGTCGTCTCCCCGGTCCTCTTTTTCCCTCCACTTTCCCTTGTATAACCAACCGCATCAACTCACATTTTTTATTTCTTAATATGTGACCGAAGTAGTTTATTTTTGTTTCCTTCATAGTTTTGTCCTTCATTTCTTTTCTTTTTTCATATTTCTTAATGTTTCCATGTTTGTTACGTGTTGTGTCCATAATATTTTCCACATTCTTGGATAACACCATATCTCAAAGCTGGCAAGTATGTTTTCAGTTGCGTCCGTAATTGTCCAGGCTTCAACTTCATATAACAGGGCAGAGAATACGCACCATCTCAATACTTTAGTTCTAATTTTCCCAGCTTTCCATCGCATGATACGATTTTCATCTTATTGAAAACGCTTTGGACATATCAATACGCCGTTTTATTTCAAGGCTGCGGTCTCATAGTTCATTTAGCTCACATCCCAAGTAATTGTATCTGGATATTTTCTCTAAAGCTTCTCCTTTAACATAGATTGTTTCGTATTCGATTTTGTTCTTACTTATAATAATGATTTTTGTTGTTTTTTTTGTGTTCAGAGCCATTCCATACCTCTTGCAGTACTGTGTAGGGCAACCAACCAAAATTTGCGGCCCTTCTCTGCTGTCCGCAAGGAGTATTGTATCGTCTGATATTTGAGATTATTCACTAGTGTTCCGTTAATTGATATGTCTTCTTTGATATCTTCTAGTGACTCTTCGGAGTCAATGTTCTGACACAACGATGTCTGGATATTAATCAGAACATATATGCTTACTTCATAGATTTTTAAAAAAGCTTTTGACAGAGTTCAACATTAAAAGCTTTTAAGTATTCTTAAGACCAAAAACATAGATAGTAGAGATTTACAAATTATATCGAATCTGTATCAAAATCAGAAAGCAAGAATAAGAGTCGAAGGAGAACTGACAGAGGAAGTAAGTTTACTTAGAGGAGTTCGACAAGGGTGCATACTTTCACCACTCTTATTCAACGTCTACAGTTAGGTGATATTTCAAGAAGCTTTGTTGGATATTGTGGAAGGTATTTTGGTCAACGGAAATAGCATTAATAATATTAGAAATGCTGACGATATGGTCATATTTGCAAGTGACATGGAAGATCTACAGTACATAATACAACATGTATACAATGCATGTGAAAGGTACGGACTGCAAATGAATCTCAAGAAAACGAAATCAATGATATTTAAAAAAAAACACAAAATGTAGATAACCTGATCATCAATAATACAACGATCGAAAGAGTAACAACATATAAATATTTAGGAACGTGGCTAACCGAAGATGGAGATCAAACAAAAGAAATCAGATCTAGAATAGAAATGGCAAGAAACACGTTCATAAATTGAAGAACTTACTTTGCAACCGTAACCTTAATCTAGAGATCCGCACAAGAATGCTACGTTGTTACGTTTTTTCTACTTTACTATACGGCATGGAAGCGTGGACAATAAAACAGTCTGAAATCAAAAATTAAACTTATTTGAGATGTGGTGCTACAGGAGAATCCACAGAATATCGTGGACTGAAAAAGTAACTAATATAGAGGTGTTACAAAGAATGAAGAAAGAATGTGAAGTCATAAAAACTGTTAAAATTAGAAAGATTCAATATCTGGGTCATTTAATGAGGAAAGAGAAACCCAGGACGACGCAAAATATCTTGGCTAAGAAATTTGAGAGAGTGGTTCGGTTGCAGCTCATTAGAATTATTCAGAAGCGCGGCCAATAAAATTAAAATAGCGATGATGATTTCCAACCTCCGATAGGAGAAGGAACCTGAAGAAGAAGTGCCTCTTTAAACATGTGTTATGAGCACGTATTAAAAAGCAGAGGGGATAGTACACATATTTGCCGTTCTCCTCTTTTTATAGATATATCTTTAAATTTTTATTTGCCTACTCGTATTATCTGGCTTTCTGTTATCTCTATAAATTTGTAATGATTCTCATCTCCTAATCATCTATTTCTGTATTTCGTAATATGTTTGCAAGTCTTCTGCGTTGTGTTAATCGAAGGCTTTTTTAAAGTCAAAGTTATGAGTGTTTGTATAGTAAATAATGCCTCTCTAGTGCCAAAGAAATCCCAGTTGGTTTCCTGTTATTCTATCGTCTAGTTTTTTGTAGACACGTTCGTGTATTACTCGCAAGAAGACTTTTAAAACAACGTTCATCAAGCTGATTGTTCTATATTCTTCACATTTCATTGCGTTGGTTTTTTTTGGGTATTGGGGTGAACTCTGATTTTAGCCATTCTTTCAAAATTTCCCCGGTATAGTAAATTTCATTGAA